ATAAAGAGTTCTAAGTAAGGGGAAGTACCTAAAATGACACAAAAAGGAGAGGACGAGCATAACTTGTCATTTGCATTCGTCACAACCTACACTCTCCCCACGTATCGCCGTTCGGGAACAAATGTATCTCTGTAAGTATTGGGGTTTAATCTATCCTGAAGTTTAGAGTGAGATGAAGAGGGCCAAGGCTGCCGAGTGGTCCGGGTTTCTCACTGGAGGGGTTGCCCGGCACCGGCTCTTTCGTTCGTGTCTGGCTTCGAACTCCTCGTGTACTGGCGCCACCACGAGCCTCCATTTCTTCTTCCCAGCTAACGGCGCCGTCCCTTCACGTGCCGTGCTACTCAATATTCCCCACAGTATTTGTATCTCTATTCCGGAATACTCTTTCGCCGTTTTAGCGGAAGTATCTCAGGGATATCCCATCGCATAAAAGACAAATGTATCTCAGTATCTGTATTATGGGCTTTGAAATACATGTATCTCAGTATTTGTATTCTCAAATGCTCTTTCGAGTGTCTCTGCCCAGCCCTGTGAGTAGGTCTGGTCAATTTCTTTGTTGAGAAAGCCTAAACCTCCATATTTCAACGAAACGTTCTATACCCATTATTAAAGCAGCATAGTTTTGTAACAATTTTGAACTTGACAATAATGTTATTTAAAAACAAAAGCCATAATTAATAATAATGACTATAAAATTTTAAAAGACTCTTGTAAACTAAACATATTCATATAGATAATTAAAATAGTAATAATTGAGGAAATATGACAAACGCCTACCAATAGTGTGCGCCCAACTAGAGGACCCAGGACTATATGTATACTAAGATAATCAACTATCACAATACCGGGAATATCTGTCGATCCCTAACCTGTGACACTGCCCATGATGCAAGCATAGCAGACGTCACGCTCTTTGTCACGTGGCAAGCTATGATTTGAGGTCTAGACATACTTTTTCCATCGTCATTATACTTAATTTCAACATGAGTGAGAGCAGTACAGAAACGCACAAGCTCAATACGCAAAGCCGCGCAGAATCTCCTGGATTTAATTAGTTCAGACGGTGATACCATATGTACTGAAAGGTGACGTGCGCCTTGATGCTGCGTTTTTGGCGATACTTGATTGTCCTCGTCAGCTCGTAGCGTAATTGTAGCGCTTTGCCGCAAAACCTGCCCCGCGACAAGATTTTTCTCTCGCGAAACGAATGGGCTCCGACGCTATTTTTTGCCGCGTCTCACGCGCCTCGAGCAAGAGGAGACCAATCAGAGGCACCGCATTCAATAACTCATAATGCAATGGTGAAGGTTTTCTAGACATCCGAGCATTGTTTTGAAGCCACCATCGAGGCAGCAAGGCACTGGGCTACCCTTCAGCGTTTCAGTAGCGCAAAGGCCGGGCGTGCCCAAAATTTTTGCCTTCGAACCTTCTGCGCGCGGCGATGTCGCAACACGAGGAGCACACGATAATAATAACTTTCACGATCGTAAGCAGGTTGTCGTCTGGGTCAGCCATCAATGGAGAGGACGAGCGCAGCCGCAGGAGCCGAAGGCCGAAGCGAAACGCATGGGAAATCTCCCAGGCGCTCGTCACCATCAAGAGGGCACGAGATCTTGTGGGATGTCACGTGACTGCCGCTGCGGCAAACCGCGGTCTGACATGGCCCTTCCCCGCGGGAAGACGGCATGCCGCGTTTTGTTGCTAGTATGGCTATAGCTTGGAAGCGAAACAGGGTATAATGAACCTCCTCCCGTTCTTTGCAACTATTGGCTCAGCAGGTGCTCGAAGGAATGCAGATGCTCGATAATTTTTGGATTGTACTAAGATATTGCAGACAAAAGCTAAGTGTAAAAACGCAGTACAGCGATGTTGGGAGTTTTACTTTCTGGGTGGCGTAATATTTAACGGGCCGCAGTCATGACTGGATCGCTCATACTTCATACAGTGGACTCTAGGATCCCACTCATGTACGCGACGAGCTTGACACGGTGGCAGCTACAAATTAAACTAAATATTTACGTGTGTTTCACTGTATTAGCCACAAAGAGCGGATGAGGTCACTGGGTTTCAAGAAAACATTGACGATTACATACGTATCAGATTAAATATTCCGTAAGCATAATTCTCAATTAAAAAATAAAATACCGGTTTCGCGCGAACGAAAGAGAAAATCAATTCAAGACGGAAACGTTCACCGAAAAAATAAATCAAAATAAATTCCGGGGCTAGTCCACGCAGCTGTTGCGAATAATCCCCTCGGAATTCATAGCCGACAACAGCTTTCAAACGTCTAGGGTCAGTGTCATCTACTGAAGCTCAAAGGCCTTTTTCTTTTTTTTTTTTAATCTGCATTGAGCAGGTAAACTTTGAAGCGTACACAAGTCATTTTAATTATTCCGAGAAAAAGCTTCTGTCGGAATCGCCTTTGTGCTTCACGAAACAAGGGGTAGCTGATCTCTATGATACGCATCCCTCTATGACCCCAGGAAGGTGAACAGGAGGCGCCTCGGTCGGCTGCTAGTAAGCACGGCGGGTGGCCAAAATAGGCGACTTTAGGAATGCCTAACAACCAATAGATTCCACGCGAGCTCTGCGTCAGAGTTCTACAGGGCACTCGGGCAAATGAGCGCGACAGCGGGTATGATTGCGGCTGCAGGCCATCTCAAAGTTTCAAGCATCTCCCATTAGATGGCGCCACCTGTCGAACCAAACTTCATTGCCCAGGGGGTATAGTTGCTCAATTTTATTCGTGTCCTTTTTCTTTTTGTTGCGCATTTCTTAGTAAATTTTTTTGTAAGCTTTTTAGACACGTGTGGAGCAATAGCTTCCCTAGTATCGCTTTGAAGGTCCCTAGAGGATGTGTGCTTGTTGAACCAGTCATGCGTCTATCTTTAGCCACGTGATCAAGCTCCCAAGTATACCCACGTGTAGGAAGCGGGGTCGTGTAATAATAAGGGGAGGTTGATTGGGCCAGCGATTTCATAGCTTCTGCCACACTATAAGCTTATGACTGAACGGAGAATGGAAGACGTGGGTGAAAACGTGCATGCGCTACGATTGAAATTATTAGAAATAATAAGTCTGCGCAAAGATTAAGTACCCACAGCTGGAAAAATTCACCGGTAAAATATATTGTGGTCATTTGATAAGAAGTCAGTTCCATTATCGTTAGAAGCCAATGCCGTTAGCACATGTGCGATACGCCGGCAGAAAATATGGTTTAGACTTTTTTTTTTTGTTCAGCGTTATCGTTGAATTACTTCGATCATCGTGATTATATGTGATCACCCATTATGACAAACTTAAAAGTTTTAGAAACCCAACATAAACAATAAAGCAGTACAGTACGAGGGGGTTTATCTGTCACTGGTCCATAACTCTTGCCTTTCCCATCAAAAGCTACTTCCCTCGTTAATGGATTAAATATATACTTCTACACTGGAAGCTGTCTTATAAATGAACAAAATTCAAATTCAAGAATGGCAGCCATCTGGTGAAGTGCAGCCTTAAATTACTAGTATACGGCTAATTGGGGTCCATTTATTACTCAACAACAGCTGTGTATTTTCGCACCCTACATACGCCAAAACTTAACTCTTCCAGGCGCGAGGCAATTCCAGTGATATAGTTAGAGCTCTTCAACACGCTTATGATAACGAACCTTCCACCGAAATTGCCGTAGGGACAAAACCCACCGCTAAACGCAGCTTGGTCGATACGGGGTGTTCTTGTTTGGCTTCTCGACTCTGAATGAGAAAAGTCAGAATTACGATAAGAAAAAGTTTAATAAAAACAATTTCGTGCACACCTACATTTTACTAACTTTTAATTGATCACTATATTCACGCACCTATCATATTTTATTGACTTCCAAATTTTCTTTTGTTTGCAACCCGACAGATTCTTTCTTAACCTAAAAACAGCCAAGCTATTGAGCGCAAGTGTTCGCGGTGTCTTCACTAGCTGCCGCCACTCATGGAGCTGACTTTTGGCGGTGGGGACAATATTGAAATGTCTTTTTTAGCCAACCAAGAGGAATGGAGTACAAAATTGTGTTGGAGACAGCCACAGATGAAGGAAGTATGAACAGTTCATTGTCTGTGTAGCGCCAAATGCGCTTACTTTAACGAGAAACGCTGTGAATGCATTGGCGCATCACAGCAGTTTAGGTGTCGTTCAATCAAAGTGAGCTCAAAATTCTAATACTACCAGGTTGCTAGACTCCCAGCGGTTTTTGATAGACTATCGTAAAATTCCGCTTATTGAAGCCAGCGGCGACACACGTTAAATCTCAGCGATAGAAAAAATGCTCCCAATGTGTTACAGAGTGACCAGATGCGCGTGGAAGGACTTTTGGTATGGTGTAGTGGCTCGCGTGGCCAGGGTACAACACTAAGAAAATTTTATCTTCAGCTTTTTTAATTTCGTTGGTTGCGGGACTCTTATGAAAAAATAAAAAAAATAAACATTTGGAGACGACATAGAAAGATACCGATTGTTACACTATTCACATGTTGCATTACCTCTGCATTTTTAAAATCATATAAACTGATTAAGAAATCGTGTTAACTGGAGATGCCGATTGCGCATTTGAAAATAAGGATGTCTATCACGTCAATAATATTTATATATATATATACCAAGATACATGAATAAACGCGCCAATACAGACATGATTAAAAGTTCTAACTCGAATATTCAAGAGGGTTTAAAAAAAATCTCAAGGTATCAAAATAGCTAAAATATCTAGAGTGTTTACGCTATATTGCAGTATAGTGAATGGAGTAGAATTTTAAGAAATATTTGTTCGAAAGGATGTTTGTGACCTCCAGCAAGCCTACTCAGGTACTTCATAACTCATCGCGACCTCAAGACAGTATTTCACCTAAATAAAAAGGCTCAATGGAAGATTTAATCAATAACAGTACCAGCAACTTAAAGTTCGGAGCATATGTTTATCGTCGACTTGACTAATTTGCTTGTTTTGCATTTTTTTAGGCATGACCATAAAGGAACACGTGCGGCGAAATCCAGGTCTTCCTGCGAAAGATCTTCTTAATGTGGACGGCCCGGCCGGTTGGGTGGTTGCAGCTGCGTGCATTTGGATTAGCTTCATTACTGGAATCACGCTAAGACCCCTCGGTTTTTACTTCGTCAATTTCGTCGCCCGCTATGAGAGCGGAAGAGAATCAGTTGCTTGGACAGTCAGCTTGACATCGGCCTCTGTCATCTTCTCAGGTAAAGTATCATTTATTATACTATAGGACGTAACGTCATCGGTTCAGCGAAGTGAGACACGTCTCCTTTATTACTGACACTTGTTTTTTTTTTAAAGTCAGTTTCTTTAACTATTATAAATAAAACTGTTTGTAGGGAGACGCAGCTTACCTCTTAAAATGTTTGAGATGACTAAGTAAGTGACAGAGGAAATAGGAAATAAATACGAAACAAAAGGTTAGTATCCCAATGGCGGGTCCTTTTTACTTTTTGTTGCGTTTAGGGAAAAATAAAACGACATTAGTTGAGGGGAGACGAAGGTGTAGGGATGAATCAAGACCCGAGATGAGAGGCCCTAAGTCTCTTGAAAATGGAAGATGTTCTCGAATGCCTGCGTCGTCGTTGCTCCTGATCCTTTTGGAAAAGGAAACTTCAGGTGTCCTGGCTGTCGATGGCATCGCCTACTGTAGATTTCTATTAAAATGTGCAGTAAACGAGACCGCCAATTTGTTTTCCAAGCGCGAAAATGGCTATAAAATTATTGATTTTATCTTAACTGTTTTATTTTGTTCAGTCTCACATCGACTACAATTTGAACATGACTTCTTATTTTGTTTCATGTTGTTTTATATAACACATCTAAACCTTTGTTGCAGGTGTTCTATCGAAATTACTGCTGCGATGGTTTTCGCCGTGGTCTCTTATGGTATTAGGAAGCCTGTTCCAGGTGACTGGAGTCTTCGTCGCCTATTTTGCTCCAAATGTTTATGCACTTGCTGCTTCCTTCGGGTTTCTACATGGTATGTTCGAAGGATTTTAATATATAAAAAGATCGCCACAATGCCGCGCTTTAAAAAGCGGCGCTAACCAAATTAGTAAGAGTAAAATGCAAAAAATCTAACATTATTTCAGAAAGGTTGTTGAAACAAGGTATTGAAATATACTTTACATATCCACTTAAAACAGGCAGAGATAGATATTGTATCTACACCTTTCAATAAATCTTTAAAGGTATTTTTCCTTTGTTTTATTGTCCCAAAGTTTACAACCCTAAAATATGTCTATCAAAATAGGTGGAGGTTAGGCTACGGGGTATATTTTTATAGTACGCTAAGTTGGTTCTAGTTATAGTATTTACCCTATTAAAACCCCTTTGCACTACAATTTTAAAGAACGTCTTCATCGCGTGTCTCTCGCGATTGTTTTTTTTGTTTTCTTCTTTGACGGGTTACTGTACAGATTATTGCACACCACGTACGAAAACGTAAAAGCCACCTGGTATTTGACAGTATTTTTTAACACACGTTAATTCCTGAAAACTTTAGTCGAATCTAATTAGACCTAGCAGTATTTAGGAGAAGGGTAAACGTTAATAAATACGTGCGTTTTGAGCCAAAATATAAAACTTTATCACGTTTTCTGTTGCACTAATCTCCTTACTGCTGACTGTGTGTGCTTTGTATTATAATCGTTTCTTTGATATTTGGACGTAATAAAGCTAAAGTTGATAGTATATTTAAATTATTTAAGTTATCTCAAGGCTTTAGGTGCGTGACCTCAGTCTCAGGAATGTAGACAGGGGAGGGGGGCATGTGGCCTGCCCCCCCCCCCCCCCCCCCCCGAAATAATCCATTTCGCTGGGGCCTCCTCTCCCCCCTTTCCCTCATACAGCATTTTGTCACGGGTGCCCCCCCCCCCCCCCCCCCGAAACAGAATCCTGGCTACGTGCCTGCTTAGTCTACAGATAATATAAGTTTGCACCTAATTTCGTACTAATTCCCTTTAAAACGTTTAAAAATATACCTTTGTCACTAGTTCACGCCATAAAAAAACCCAAAAAACTATGAAATTCGTGCGCAATGTTTTACGAAAAGGTTAGTTTTGACTTAACTTGCACTTCAAATTCATTTTTTTATCCTATGACATAATTAATCAGGACGATAATGCATCTGCTCTGTTGTTACAAAAATGGTGATGTTTACCTTTGAATTTATAAGGCACCTTGAAGTATGACACACTTTGATTACGTGGTTAATTGCATGGTATAAAAAAGTTTCTAAACCTAAAAACTAATGTAGCAAATAGTGAGAGTGTTTATTCTTGCCATGCCAACCACACGATTTTTTCGAATAATATCTTGAATTTACAAGTTTCAGATATTTTATTATTCCATTGTCATAATCCGCCATAAAACAAGAATGGTATAAAAGGAGAGCGAAGGTGAAACTTCAAAAAATTATTTTTTTTCAGGCATAGGTGCAGGACTGGTGTTTGTGCTGAGTGGAACCTTCATTCAAAAACACTTTCAAGAAAATCGAAGTTTTGTGATGAAGCTCAACGTCACCGCGTCATGTGCGGCTGGGATCGCGTTCCCGCGACTTCTTTTGTTCTTCCGCCAAGAGTATGGATACACAGGGCTCATTCTGCTTTCTGGCGGCGTGTTGCTGAACGTTCCCGTGCTGTGCATTTTACTCAGGTAAGGACTACATTTCCAATTAGAATGACTCTTGTTTTGAGTGTAACCTTCGGTTCGTTCGCTAACCGCCAGCGCTTTATGTCAAAATAAATTTAGTCACGAATGTTAGATAACTGTATCAAATAGGATTTGTAGGGGGTTTTCCCTGGACGTCAATTTTGCGAGTACTTTTCGCAGCGCCTGGTCACAAGCACCTCGCATTCAATGTCTACAATGAATAACACTTGATTGGGTGGAATTTACGTACATCGAAGTTCAAGCTCTCTTCAAACCAATCAAGATTGTTCTTGGCTGAGAAAGTTAGTTCTTCTGGAAAATGGTGCAACGAATGTACTCGAGAATGTCGTTCAGTAACTACTACCTACTAAATCCAGATATATGAACAGGAATCTCAAGAAATGTAATCCTGATTAAAATTATTGTTTTTTTTTTGCTCATTGTGAAGTCGCAATGTTCTTCCGTCGGCGAGATATTCTAAAAAAACATCAACGTGCTTCATAAAAGATCTCTATAGCATGTTCCAACGCAAGAAGTTCAGGATAAGCTTCGTCTCCAAATTCACAGAGATGAAAGTTTTTTTATGCAAACCAGCAAAGCCACAAAATGTGCCAAAAACACGCAACGGGAGGAGCACAATTAAAATAAGAGCACCGACTTGACACAACAGAAAAAAAAGCATTTTTAGACGCTTAGCCTGGGTCAACAGCGACCCTTCTTGCAAGGTTGGTGTCCACGAAAACAAAGTGCCTCCCAATCCCGAAACCACCAGGCACATGCATCAGGAGCCTGAGAACAAATGCATGCTGCTGCATTGCTAAATTTAGGAATTGAGGTTTCGAAGGAGAGGGAGACGGGGGGGGGGGGGGGGGGGGGGGGCGGAGTGTGTTAGACTTCGACATGTTTTTTTATTCTGTTGCTTCGTGACTCCCACAGAAAACCGGCAAATCCCAAGATCAACAACACCATGTGCACGACTACATCCCCGAAGGTGTTCACAATAGACCAACCAAGTTCAAGTTCTTCATGCAGCAACCTTCGTTCCGGAGAGAAGTCCATGTTCAAAATGCCCATGTTTTACTTCACGGCAATATCGCACCTCGTGTTCTTCTACATTATCAACTTGCATTCAAGCATTGTGGTCGACACCATACTTAGCAAAGGAGTTCCGGTAGTGGAAGCGATCACCGTCGCTCCAGTGGTGACGATCTTCGACTGGATTGGTCGGGTGATCATACCTCTAAGTACAGAGAAAGGCTACACAAGCCGGACAACCCTGGTGATGATCGACTACCTCGTTGTGGGCGTCGGGCTCTTCGTGCTACCCTACGCCAACAACTACGGCACAGTGTTAGCTACGTGCGTCAGCTTTGGTGCGTTCAGTGGGCACGCAATAACAGTGCACAACCCACTGATGGCGCAGTACGTCGGGTTCAACCGGGTCAATGTTGCCAACGTCATTGTCACATGCTTTGCCGCCGCCACGTTTTTCACGAAGCCATACGTCATTGGTGAGTTCCACATTGATCCGATCAATATTTATTTGAAAGCCAGGGCCCTTTTAGCGGATATCATAACTCACGAACACAAAGACTTCATATCACACGAATATCTACTGAGGACCGCTGCAAAGGTGACTGGATAGGACGGTTCGTGCCTGATAATGTCAGAACAAGAATTGACCTTCGGCAGGACAATGCCGGCCCCGGCTTGATACCGGGTTGGCACGAGATAGTTTCTGTATTCCTTGACCGGGATTAAGTGGTTCTTTGGCGGTGGAACAATTAGGTCGTTTATATTTATCTACCCAATATATTAAGGGGTTTGAAATGCTGTATTGTTTAAAGAACACATTTTACCTTATACTAAACTCAACAAAGTACACAAAAAGCCTAAAAACCCTGCCACCAAAATTAATAGAACTCAGGTATAGAATTGATAAGGCAGTACGGATTATGGTATTTGTCTAGTGACTTAATATTGTTTGAGAAGGTTCTTAGAATACAAGCTGAGGTGCCATACCGTTCCACGAACAAAAAATTAAAGTGTGCGAAAACGACTTCAACCCTCGATATACTTCATTATAAATGAATGAATTGTATATATTTTTTCTGCTTTCTTGCAGGGTATTTCAGAGATCATCTAGGTTCATACGACGACCTGTATCGTATAATGGGCATTGTGACATTCTCCAACGCGGCAGCCTGGTTAGTCGTCAACTCCATAATGCGACATCGAAAAACAAGAACGTGGACGACGAGTAACTCCCAGCTAAAATTGTGTGATGAACCCGTGCTCATCAACTACCAGTCAATCTTCCTGACCTCAATGATGGCCGAGTAGAAAGTCGAACGTTGTAGTACGCAAGCCCTCGAAGAGTTGTTTTACGTGTGACTGCGCGCGTGCGTGTGTGAGTAGAAGTGACCTTCTGTCTGGGGGAGGGTCAGAATGAAAGACAAGCTAGCTGTGATGGGACGTTACGAGGGGTTAGATTTTTTAGGAATATAAACTGAAGGCAATGTATAAAAATAACTACATTCATTAACATATTTATTGCTCTCCATTAGGTCTGGAGTGTATCAGCGAAAATGAGAACTCATTACGTTGACTGTAAACAGCGTACACGCAGTTTAGTATTTCTTCAATTCAATGCTCCATTAGTACAATTATATAAAACGGTCTTTTGTTATTTTGTTAGCGCTTGTCCTGTCTACATGTTCTGTCTCTTGTCCTTTGTCTAACCTTTGCGCTATTTAATTTTTATTGCATGCATATCCCACTAGCCCACCCCAATATTTTAGTAGGCGTTTTGTTCCCCACTACTTTTGAAAAAAAAGAACATAATATAACTAGTAACAAGCCATCTCAAAATATGTTATTCTAAAGGGAAAATTTTAGCCTCTAACTTATCGGTTAATACTGCATATTGAACGAGTTGGTAATTGCTTCATCCACGTACCAGTGCCCAGTAAAAAAATCCCAAAAACAAAACAAAAAACACTAACATAGCGCTTCTTTGTGTGTTTGGATTTTTGAGTGAGCGTCTGCCTGGTGCGCTGGTACGTGAAACTTAATAGTGTCTATCTTTTGTTCCTATGTACTTCGAGTGATTTAAGCTGTATTTGTAAAATGAGAAAGCTCATGATATTTTTAAGAAAGGTCTGCTGGCAGATTGTTGCAAAAAGAAAAAAAAAACGAATGGAGATTTTAATGTTTATTTTTTAACAAAATAAAAAAAACATTTCGCAATTAAAATTCTGTTTTTTTAAATATAGAAGTCCTGCTGTACAGCACATAAAGCATCGAGTGAGACACAACAACGTGCTTCAACACACATATTTTGTTCGTCATCACGTTTGAAACCCTCTCTAAGCATCTGTGCAGTCATTAGAAAATAGAAGTTTTAGTAAATTAACCTACGGTATCGAACAATGAAGCGCTTATTCTCCAGCTGGGTAGTATTAATGTTTGGCATTGCGAGATGCTGTTCTGTTATCTGGAGCCTGATGTAGACCAATTTAAACTAGGACACTGTAAATCCCATGATTCACTCGTCTTCCAATAGGTAAATATGGCCACGTTAATTGCGTACTCATTATCGGTCTTAGCGTTTGTCCGTCTAGATTTTTCGGGGTGCCATATTACATTGACGTCTTCAATGAGCGTGTGGGACTGAATAAATAATGACGCTAAAGCATGCTTATTTCAACCGTATTAAATTTTACTTAAGTGATATTTTACTGTTTAGTCTCAATATGAGAACACTAACTATTATATAACCAAACTTCTAAGAAATGTAAAACATGCTCTATGATATAAAACCTGAACATCTTGGGAAGAAACAGCGGCGAAGAAACTTGGACAAGAGTAAGGGAACAAACACGACAGGACGGCGCTGAACTAACCACTATCGTTTATTACACAAAAATGGAAGGAAGAAAACAGGAATTATCTTAATCGAATAAAAATATAAAGACACACACAAACGTGCCAACCAAGCCTCATATTATGTCGACATAGGCCCAACCAGTGGCTACGTAATGCTCGTTATAGTCGATCGCATGTACTAGGACTCTTTGTCAGATAACGCCACTGACGGTTTGCTGACGCATCTCCCGCCAAGTTCCGAGGTAAAAAAGGTCTCGATAATTTTCGTTGCCACCCTGTCTCTATGTCTGTCCAAAACAGTGTCTTCACTAAAATTAGGCTGGCACATGCAGTCCCTGCAGTGTAAGGGCAGCAACCCACCCGACTGTAGCCCTGAGTGAATACGAATGCTCCCTAAGTCTATCATTTAGACAGCGGCCCATGTTTCCAACGTACACCTTGCCACAAGACAAGGGGATCTAATAGGCCGCGCCAGACACAAAGGCCACAAACGGCACTGCGTGCTTTTTGGAGCATTTGTTTTTTTAGCGCTTTTTGGCAATAGCACCCACCTTTGCACATATCTGACCAATTTTATGTGGGGCAGAGAACACAACCGGGACATCATAGTCACCTCCGACTTGTTTCAGGTTATGAGAAACCTTATGAAGATAGGGGACGACCACCATTTGTTTTGTCGAATTCAGTCTTTCTCTTCCTCCCTTTAGCTTTTTTTCAACAGAGAGCTAGACACCTTGGTCAAAAGGGCTGATGGAAATCTTGATAGTTTTAATCTGTTAACCTCGCCGTTCAAGCTATCCTTCATTAAGTGGACGCAGGACTTTTTTAGGGCGGACTCAAGACAAGAGATTGCTATACTCCTCTTCACCAATTTAGAGTGGCATGCATGACCTAGAATCCAGAATGACCTTTTTGTGCGTGGACTAAACGACCAACAAACACGTTTTTCTTCAAAGTGCCACTCTAAATTGGTAAAGAGGAGCACAGCGCTCTCTTGTCTCGAGTACGTCCTCAAAACGTCCTGCGTCCACTTGATCAAGGAAAGCTTCAACGGCCAGGTTAACAGATTAACACTGTCAGGATTTACATCATCCCTTTTGACCAAGCTGGTCAAAAGAGCTGGCACTGTAGGGACTGCATGTGACAGCCTAATTTTAGTGTAGCCACTGTTTTGGAAAGACATAGAGACAGGGTGACAAGAAAAATTATCGAGGCCTTTTTTATCTCAGAACTTTGCTGGACAGCGTCAGCAAAACCGTCAGTGGCGTTATCGGAGAAAGAGTTTGGGTACCTGTGGTCGACTATGACGGGCATTACGTAGCCACTGATTGGGCCTATCGCAACATGATATGCTGCTTGCTTGGCACGTTTGTGTGTGTCTATATATTTTATCTGATTAAAACGCTTCTTGTTTTCTTCCTTCCAATTTTGTGTAACAAACAACAATTGTTAGTTCAGCGCCGTCCTATCGTGTTTTTTCCTTTACGCTTGTCCACATTTCTTTGCCGCTGTTTCTTCCCAAGATGTTCACCTCAAACCAACTAGCCCAACGCGTCACATTGTTGATATAAAAACCCATTGCTAGGGAGGTGCTACAACGATGGCATAAAATCAGTGGCTTAACATGCTCTACAACTAGGGGTAGCTGAAAGCATACCGATATCTTGTAATGAATCGTGTAAGGTCTAAACACTGGCCGCATAATATTACTTTATTTACTTGTATTAACTATGCAAACGCACTGAAAAATGCCCTTGTGCTTAATCTTGTTCGTCATTTAATGAACATATTTTATGCCGTCCTGCGTGAACTCAAGTACAAATTACCAGAACAAACTGGTCAGAACTCGCTTTACTCGTATTGAGTATAACAGCACTGGGCAGTGTGCGTAAGCGTCGTTTCAGAGCATTATGTTGTGGCAGTTACAAAACTTCATTTTACGAGCCCTTGACGTCAACTTCCGCTCGTCGTCAGAGCGACGACAGATGTTCCTTACAATCAGTGTTCAGGGCGGGATATTCATCGGTGTTACTGACTTTTTCTAAACCTTTTCTAGATGTGTAAAGTTTAAGAATCTTAGCAAACGTGTGCTTCCATAATGGTCTGAAAGGAATAAAATCGATATCTGAAAAACAACGTAGAACCTGTCGTAATCGTCTCGTTTTTAGTGGGTCTCCAATCTGATAGCCTCATCATAGGAATCAAACACAAACCAACGAATGTAGTTATTATTTGCCCTGAAGAACTAGGTATTGTGTTCAACGACATTACGTACTGACGAACATCGTAAAAACGCATGACATCTTACCAACTGATTTTAGTATTCAGGAAGTTCTAGTAACTCTTCTAATTTTTTTAAACAACTTTACGAATTCCGTTTACTTACTTATTTGATCTGATATTTGGCACGTACAGTTATGTAACCAGCTGCTCAACTTCCAAAGTGCACTGTTCGCTCCTGCTTGCTCATGGATCCAGGTAAGAGCAGACTCAATCGGACTGACGACGCTCGTTGGCGGATTGCAAATGGTATGAAATCGCAATCGTGTAAAATGTACGGTGACCTGCAGGAACCCCAATACGCAAACTGTTTCCGACACATAAAAACAGTGATGAGTCAGAACATTTTATTTTTTGATAAGTTAAAAAGCGTATGAAAAAACTTTTTTTTTCTTTGCTGTTGTTTAAGTTTTTAGCTCCAAAAACGGCGATGTAGAAATAGCCTTACAAAAGGAGTAACTGTAATCGCTAGCAAGTGAGCAGTCGCGCAGCGTGAAATCAAAGTCGCAGAGAAGCTACGCCAAAGATAAGCAGCAGGATATTGCGCGAAAAGGGACGTCTATCTCCTACAGGCAGTTAAACGTGCCTTCCGTGAAGTATCGTATACGATAAAAAAACACCCACGGGTCGTCTTTACCGCGTGGATTTTTGCGGGAGCTTCGACAGCATGACACAAGCGGTAAGCAAACATCCTAATTATTCAGAACAAAAAAGGTCTTGTCAGTTTTATTAGTAAAAAAAGTAATGGTAGAAATATAATATTTGTGTATAGATGTTAACAGTAAGGGTTATAAAAGGGTTCTCGTTTGGTTGCTTTGCTTCGGAGGCCAATGTGCGGGCTTGAACAGGGTCGCACCTGCACATCCGTTGCCGCTGGAAGTTTTGCGCGTGGAAAATCAGGTGGCTTGTGGTTAGCAGCGTGTTTGGGAGTATGCCAACGGTAGCCATGGGTACGTTTAATAATATTTCTTTTGCATCTGCGCTCGGACTATACTTCGTTTCAGCTTCGGTCCGAGGGCGGCCAATGTTATGAGCCGAAGGGACAATCAAACACCGCAAAAATCGCAGCGTCATGTCGTGCTCTCTGCGCTTGATAAAACTAGCCGGCGGAGAAGCACACACAGAGAGACGGCGAATATCGGCTGGTCCTATCAACTGCAGAGAGCACGTCATGACGTTGTG